GGCAGCCAGAGGCTGGTAATACATTTTGCCGTATCAGAAAGTCCCAGGTCCCAGAATTGCAATTAATAATATGGTTGTGCAATACATATTAATCAGCTATAAGAATCAATGTATATAAACAGCTGTTACATATTTTAAAATTCCCCTTTTTGTACATTTTCTTTTAAAAATAAACATTTATACACTCCTCCTTCGCCTCTTTCTAAAGTACTTTAGCACCACAGGATATCCATTTTCAAGCCTATATTACCTGATACATAGATGAAGTTTGGAAGAAAAAAATAAGGCAATTTGGTTTAAAATGTTGATAGTTTTAGCTTACTTAATGTTCTATTGTAAAAAGCAAATCTGCACTCATATTAGATCATTTCCGACTTGACGGTGCCAGTATTTTATGGTCACACAAAGTCACAACAAATAGTAAGACCTTGATCTTGCATTTTCTTGCCTTCAAGCGACAGCCAATTTGTAAATACAGAGTTAGCAGGAAAATTCTGGCTTAATGCTGTTGTGAGCCCTGAGAAGAAAGAAGAGAGAAGTAGGTTAGTGGCTACCAAGCAAAGGGGAAGTAGACATTATCTTAAATCTAGCAAACACTTGTTTTGAAAGCCGCAAGTACTGGTAATCGTTGGTCAGTTCTGCAGAAAAAACCAGAAGGCTGAGACAGGTGATTTTATCCCCTGATCACCAGAAGACCATTGAGGCTTCCTTGTCACAGCCTGGAGTCCACCATCATTGCTTGATAAGGTAACCAAGCTGCAAACAGAATTCTTAGTTCACTGAAATAAAATAATTAAAAAAGGTATTTCCTGCTGTAACTCTGAGGTAACAGGTTCTACGGATACTGTTATCTTGGCCTGAAGACCCTAAGGACGAGGAAAATCCCACTACAAGGTAGGGTAAGAAAGCCAACCCACTGCTACTCCTCCCAGTTACACACAAACACCCCCCCTGAGTTCCGTGAAGCTCAGAAGTGCACGTGTGAAGTGACCTTGATCTCACCATCCAGTGCAAAAGCAGAATAAATAAATAGTAGTATTTTAACTAAACCTGCAAGGAAATCTTAACAGAAGCTGTCACTGTTGATTAAAATAGAATACAGTGAACAGTGAAACAGTTTGTTCCTAGCAGCTGGGATTTAATGAAGCCTTCTGCAACAACGGACGGAAAACTCAGCACCAAGTACGCCCAGCAATAAGAAGCAACTTAGTGTTGGAGCGTTTCTGATTCGGTCTTAAGGCAACACATGCATACGCCCTTGAGAAAGTAGCCTCCTTTACACAGGAAAGGGTAAATTAAGGATGAAATCTTCAACCTGTAGAGTCCACACCACACTCTGCTCCTACCCAGGCACAAAATGGCTGATGAAAGGACCTGTTACTCTGTGCACCTTGGTGGATCCTTCCTGCCAACTGACTCTTCTAGCTGAACGTGCAGGTTGGCATAGTCTCCTTTTTTCTATGTTCTTTTTGTACAACGTATGGGCTTGAAAGCCCTTATCTTGCCTACTACATCCACCACCTACTAATACACTGCTGCAGACTCTTCAAATTTTTCCACAAAGTGGAAAACAATTTACTTCCCTACAGAAGAAGTGTTATCTATTGTATTTATTTTACAGTGAAGAGTAATAAATGAAAGGGATTAATAGAAAAACATTAATTTGCTCCCTCAATAACTTCACGTATGCTGATACAAAAGAAGAAGAAAAAGGAGCCTGACTGAATCACAAGAGAGGGATTTTGTGAAACTAGGTGGTTTTGAGGGGAACTGGACGGATACACTTCAGGTACAACCTTATAAACTCAGTTACTTGAAACCAAAGGTCACGTGCCCTTCCTCTCTGTTTCATAAGCACACTCGCTTTCAGCCCAACAGAGTTCAGGGACCTCTCATAAACATTCAGAGCCAGACCCTCTCCTGATCTGTCTCCTGCCAACTGTCCAAAAGCCGGTTACACAACACAGGGGAGTAAAATGAAGGTTTGGGCTACCAGGAACGAAGACAACAGCAGAGTTTGTCCTGAGCAAAACCCACTGTAGCTACCGCATGAATAGATTTAACTGCATAATGAAGACGACTGCTTCATAAACATACAGAATTTGTTCGTTTTCGTTTCCAACAGTCAGGATTTAAACGTTTCTGTTCTTCCGCCAAGGCCTTGGCTTCTAGTGTGTACATGCGTCTTTCTTCATTTTTCATTTTCTTCCACCTGTCACCGAGTATCACACTTATGGCTCTGTAAGATAAATGTTTACAGTATGGTCAGGACAGGCTGTTATAAGAAATACCCTTTTTTTCCTTTTTATCTCAGCACTTTGAAGAAGACAAAAGTTAAACATGGAAATAATACACACAGAATAAATCGATTGTATCTTTAAAAAAATTTTTTAAATCATTTTCCTGGTTATCTTCTCGTACTTCTTTTAACAGCTAAACAGCTGAGACTTCTGCGTTAGCTGAGCATGGGTCAATGCACATGCTAACATGTCAAAAGGCCTACGTTTGAATACACAGCAACTCGCACAAACCGGCAAAATAGGGATGTTAAAAAACCCACCACCAAATGGTAACTCACATTTGGTTTGCTCTGCTTCCGTACAAGCAGATCATGACAGATTTGCTGAAAATATGTTCTCTAATATTTAGGGCAATGATCTGAATATGACCTCAACCAAACAAGTGTTTGATTAACTGCAACCCCCCATGTCTATTTAATAGATGTGTGTAGCTGCCTCCACTTTAATCCATACTGGGTGGAACATACTGGGAAGTTCCCATCCTTTGCAAAAGGAACCATTTGTTCCGACACATCTATCATCATTTCCAGAGCTGAATGAATTACTTTCCTACTCCTTATAAACTTGACGTCTTCTGGACAATATTTCCCCATATGAGCACGCCATATTGCTTAACTGCACTCCCAAATGTTGGCTCAATAACCCACTGAAGCTTTAAGTCCATCCTTTGGCTGGATGAAAATCTCCAAACAGCAGCTCTTTTGTCAATGACAATTACTCAGCTCCTGAGCGGGTATGCTTTGGCCTCAGATTACAGTGATGAAAGTTCTACAACCAGCTTCAAGAAAAAGGTGCATGAATCTACTTTGTTTTATCATATCAAAAACTTCCTTGCTGGCAGCAAAGCTATTTGTAGACTTTCTAACAGCATCAAGAAGAGCAGAGCGTCATCGACCATCTCCACAGCATTTCACATACAGCGATTCCGAAGGCTTTTCTGCACCACACCAAGAAAAGGGATTTTAATCCTGCAAGAGCGTGCAGTACCATTCGGGCTCCTGCGAGCTGCAAAGCCCTCGGTGAGCACAACAAGAACTCCACGGGGGCTGGGGTTAAGCCTGTGCTGTCACACGCTCTGCTCTGGCTGACTCCTTAGAGCAAACTCCTCAAGTTGCAACCAGATCCCATCAACATCAAAGACATTCGCACAGCCTGCCCCTTTGGCAATGGAATTTCTGGTTTTCTATCCAAATTAGGAACCAGTACCTTTGGTGTGTCATCAGAAGGAAACACCCTCCAGTTTAATTAGGGCATTTTTCATGTTTTGGCAGTACCCACAGGCAAATCAACAGCATCAGAAACCTATCTGATTTTGGTCACCAGTTTGTACTGGGCCACTCACACCTCCAGGAAAGAACACAGTGACCCAGAGAGAGCAGGTTTGCTGAAAAAGCCATTGCATTTCCAAATAAAAAATGCACTATGAAATCTTTGTATTTCAAATGCAAAAATATGTATTTTATACCTCCAGTGAAAAAACTGCACTGAGGCACTGAAAGTGAGTAAAGATCTGTACGTTTCAAAAAGCTTGAAAAATCTAATGCAGAGACAAAAGCTCCATTTCTCCAAGGAAATAGTTCTATGACCGAACCACCAAGACTGAAAAAAAGATGTGTAGAGACAAATTTCCTGGCATAACAGGCACCCAATTCCCCTGAGCAGAAGCAAGTAAGAAAGGACTGACCCTACTGCATCACTGCCTTAGGCGCCCTTCACCTCGTCAGAACTCTGCAGCGCTCTGTACGCTGCATTTGTCCTCTTAAAATGCTGGTAAAGGCACCTGACAACATTTTAGCACTAGACTAATATGCAGGATGCAATCCCTTATACTGCAGTTAATTCAAAAGAAATTGTCAAGCAGTAGTTAAGAATGCCTAAAGTTTACTCAGTAATTACGTTCAGCATGAACAAATGCTGTTAATAGTTTAGGTTACTTTCTTTATCTTTAGATGACCCAAATTATTTCTGAACATGTAATCAAGTCCCACTATGCTTACAGCAAGAATATCTAGAAAAGAAACAAGTGCTACTCTAACACCAGTGTCTCAAGTACGGCCTTAGGGTCCACTGTATTTTCAAGTATCATGTGAATGTTGACTTGTGTTTTCAACGTTTACAGCTCCCTATCTTGTTGACATGGCTTGAGCTACTTTGACTCAGAACAAACCATTTAACTCCACATACCTCAAGTTCTGTCCTTTCTTACGTGCCTAAGAAAAATAAAGTGACTGTAGCAGACACA